GTAGTTAAGAGCATTTCCTGCCCTTTCAGAGGACCTGGGTTTGGTTCCCAGCAACCACATCAGATGGCTCATCACCATCCAGCTCCAGAGGATCTGACACATTCTTCTGGCCTCCATAGGCACCTGCATATATGCAGTGGATATACACATTCTGAGGTATATAGACATACATATAAAAACTTGAAACTGTATATGAATTTGGGCCTGTGAGAAGGCTCAGCAGGTAGAAGTACCTGGTACGAAGTCCGATGGCCTGAATTTGATCCTCACTTCCCACATGGTGGAAAGGATGACTCCTGCAAGTTGTCACCTGACCTTCACGTGACCATGCCCCACCCCCTTACTAAAGATAATTAAAAATATATGCATTTAAAAAAATCTCAATGCTTCCCTGCATCTCCAGATCTACTGTGGACATTGCCATCAACATTTTATGATAGTTTATTCACATCAGGATCAAAACCAGGTCCACACAGGTTCTTTTCAATCCACAGATTCCTCTCCCATTTTCTCTTGTGATTTGTTCACTGAAGGAAATAGGTCCTTGGTCCTGTAGTTTCCCATTGCATGGATATCTACATATTGTCTCCAATACAATTTCCGTGACTCAGATATAGTATCTTCAGGAATTCATAATGTCCTTTTTGCATATGTATAGAATTTGTGCATGGGTGTGTGCACGTATGGAAGGGCTTGAGGTTATATTGGACCACCCCACCTTACATATTGAGGCAGGGGCTCTTCCCAAACCCAGAACTTTGTTTTGAGTAGCCACACTAGCCTGTTTGCTCTGGGGAACCTCCTGTCTCCATCTCCCAAAGAGCTAGGATTACAGGAGCCCCACCCCCACCCCCCCACCCCCCGACTCGAACACCCAAACCTAACAAGATGCTGACTTCCAGCACTAGGACACCTTCAGCAAATTGATGGCTAACAGGTTTTGTTTTCCTTGTAAATATTGGTCTTTTTGTCTGGTTGTCCAAAAATTTCCCTTTTCTCTTTAAAATCTGATAACTTTTCTAGACTATTACTCACTGTTAGTCAAATAGATTGATTTTTCTTATTTAAGTGGACTGATTTACAGTATATCTACAGTTTTAAGTCTTACTTCACAATTATGAATTTTTTTTAAAGTTAATGTATGTATGGTGTGTGTGTGTGTGTGTGTGTGTGTGTGTGTGTGTAGGCATGTGCATGCCATGGTGTGCATACACATGACCATCAGAGGACAGTATCTGGTGTTGTTCTATAGTCACTGTCCACCTTTTGTCTGACGGTCTCTTCCTGGCTTGGGAGTCACTAAGCGGGCTGGCTATGGAGATGCAGGGACCTGCCCACCCCTGCCTCCCCAGCACTAGGAGTAAAAGCACACGCCACCATGCCCAGCCTCAGGTCCTTGTGCGTGCACATCAAGCACGAAACGGAGCTGTCTCCCAAGCCCCAGATCTAGGACTTCAGACTCCTTCAAGCTATCTGTAAGGCTAACTTTGCCCTTTTCAATGCTCATGAATGTACCATGGAACTTTCCAGATGCAGCGTGACATGTGACACTATCACAGATTGCAGGAAAAGGCAGCTAGCTATGAGAATCCAGCTGTCTTTTCTTAAATAAGATACTTGGAAATTTTGTAAGTAATTCTGCTGTCAGCATTCCATCGCTGGGGAAAAATATCTGACAGGATCACTGTAAAGGAAGAAAGCTTTATGGACCCAAAGGTTGACAGTGCAGAGGTTTCCCTCTGTGGGGGCTCGGCCCCATTAGCTGGGTGTGTGGTAGCACAGTGCCCTGGTGGGAGTGGTGAAGGGGGGTCTGTTCGCCTTGTGAGCAGGATGTAGAGACCGAGGAAGTGGAGGCCGTCTAGAGTCCCAGTTATCGCTTCCAGAGCTATGGCCCCAATGCCCTAACTTCTTTCCACCAAGTCGCACCTCCTAAAAGTTCTCCACACCCCCAACAGTGCCACCACTAGGGAGGATGCTTGCAACGATGGCATCTCCACAACCATAGCCAGTGAGGGTGAGAAGTGGATGAGTGAGAGGCTGGAGGTGAACCTGAGCAGCAGTCTGGGGACTGAGGCATCCGGTTCCTTTCAAGCACTTAGGGCTAGGGACACAGTGCCTCGGGAGATCTCCGAAACCCTCCAGGACATCTTCCCTGGGTTTTGGTGAATGGTGCCAGGCTTCCTCTGGCCATACTGAGCTTCTTGTTAAGGGTGCCTGGCTTGAAGCTCTGTGTTCTGCTTCCCTCCTTCTCTCTTCTAAATTCTGTTTAGAAAAATCTCTCCCCTTGCTTTACTAAAAGCAGCTAAGAGAAGCCAGGCAGAATCTGGAACACTTTGGGGCTTGGAGATTTCTATGACAGAAGAAACCTGCTGAAAATACTAGTCTGTCAGCCTTTAGTTCTGACTCCTAGAAACTTTTTCTTTTTGTTGTTTTGTTTTTTGGTTTTTCGAGACAGAGTTTCTCTGTAGTTTTGGTGCCTGTTTTGGATCTCGCTCTGTAGACCAGGCTGGCCTCAAACTCACAGAGATCTGCATGGCTCTGCCTCCGGAGTGCTGGGATTAAAGGTGCACTGACTGGCTCTTTAGAAACTTTTAGAACAGACATGATGCTAAACGCTTTGCCACTTTGTAACAAGGATGGCCTTTCCCCTCATTTCCTTTAAAATGCTCCTTTACACCTGTGGCCCCTCCACATCAATCGGAGATCAAAAGCCTGTTGTTTTTTTTTATGTTGTTTTGTTTTTAATTTTTCTTTCTCTGTTTGAGGAAGTGTCTCTCAAGTGAATCCAGAGCTGCAGATACAGCTAGTTTGGCTAGCTAGCTTGGGTGGGTCCTGTCTCTACCCTCTGAGCACTGGAAACACAGGAGGACCTGCATGCCCACCTGAATTTATATGGGATTAGGGGACTTGAACTCTGGCCCTCGGGCTTATATGGCAAGTGCTTTAACCACTGGGTATTTCCCAGCCCCTGTCTTAAGAAGAACGTGAGAAAAATTCACAAGAAATCAAAGGGTAGAGGGCAGGAGAGATGGCTCAGCACTTAAGAATCTATACTGCAGCTTGGGAGATGGCTCTGTGGTTAAAAGCACTGACTGCTCTCTTCCAGAGGTCCTGAGTTCAATTCCCAGCAACCACATGGTGGCTCACAACCACCTGTATTGAGACCAGATGCCCTCTTCTGGCCTGCAGGGACACATGCAGGCAGAACACTGTATACATAATAAATAAATAAATAAATCTTTAAAAAAAAAAAAAAAGAATGTATACTGCTCTTATAGAGGACCTGTGTTTGGATTTCAGCACCCATGTAGTTAGTGGTTCACAACCTCCCGTAACTCCAATTCCAGGGGATCTGATGACTCTTCTTGCCTCTGCAGGTATTGAACTCATGTTCGCGCACGCACACACACACACACACACACACACACACACACACACACACACAACACACAAAATCTTGTATTAAAAAAAAATGTTAGGGGCACTTGCCTAGCATGTACACAGGCCTGGGCGAGCACAGTGCACATGGGGGCACAGTGCTCCATGCACTTGGGAGGTGTGGAGGGGAACTCCTGGGAAGAAGCTGTGTCTGCAGAGACTGACTGGACTACAGCGCTGTGGAGACTGGAAAGCTGCGTGTCCAGGGGTTAACGACTTTATCTTGGGCTAAGTTCTGGCCCTCGAGAACAGTCATTCCTTGTCCCACCTCTGCTGGAACTTAAATCTTGTAACTAACAGATAAAAGCCTTTTAGAAAACTATTAACTTAGCAGACCATGAGCTTGCACCAACCCAGAAGCTAAAGATGTCATCAGATAGCATCTTAGATCTATAGAAAATCTCCCCCATCTTGCTGAACCTGACTCTCTGAGGTACCCACCAATGTACTTTCAACTTGCCTTGATTTGTGAATTTCTTTGTTCTTTAAAATGATAAAACTTCATGCAACTGCTTCCACGCTGGGTCACAGAATTTGGAGTTCCATGTTAGTGACTCATGAACTGCCACTGAGACCTCTCCTCAGCCCTTCTCCCTCTCCTGAAGCCAGACCACAGGGGAGGCACGGCACACCTTCAGGCCCGTCTGTGTCTCCTCGCCTCTAAGGATCTCAGCATTTCTGGACAGACAGTTCACTGCAAACTGGCACAGATCCTAGAAACTTCAGCATCTGCCCTCTAGACTCCTATGCGTGCCTGTAACAACACGGCACATGCACATAAAACTGGGGAGCTGGTTGAAGACCTGACTAAGTAAATCAGCATAGAATTTGAGTTATGCAAAAAAACAAAACCAATTCTGCAGCAGGAACAGTAATTCTTCCCAGAGGGCAGTTAGCGAGTCTTAGAAGTAAGGGGGCCTGACAGAAAGGCCCTGCGTTCCTCTCTGGGTGAGGTCTGCTGGATGGAGACCACCAGCTAGTGCTGGCTCAGCCTTTTCCAGGCATGTGCTGTTGCCTCTGAAGTTAGGGAAAACAACGGGCACTCTCTCCTGGAATCTGGTGCCTGGGGGGCTCTGGGGTCAATGACTGGTGTCCTGAGGGTGCTCCAGACTGGGAAGGTCCACTGCAGGGTGGGCAGGGGTCCCAGTGGGGAGTCTGCCTGGCTTGTGTCTTCATCAAATGAACACCCTATGCTTTTCAGGGTGCTCAGAGGAGTGAGGCAGCGCCTGGCCACACACGTGAGGAGTTCTCAGTATGGCGTGCTCTCCGCTGCTTCTTCTTCAGCAGAGTTTGCACCCTTAAATCTTCTCCAACGTGTGAAAATTTCATCCTTTTGGCTAGAAAGAACTCGTTCGTCATTTAGATAAGGAAGGCTGGAATCTTGTCTGAGTGGATTTTTTTAACCATTTCTCTCAGAACCCACTCTCCAACCTGGTCACTCCAACTGAAGGTGAGCATGGCTAGCTAACTCAGCTACTCAATCAGTCAGGAGCCATGGCTTGCCAATACTCCGGCGTGTACACAGTGCCCAGGAACTTATGGTGAAGAAGCACACGTCCGGGTCAGTGGTTGTTCTTTTGACCTTTATTCAAATAAACACAATACCTGTACAGAGCCTGACTGTGTCTTCTCAGGCTGGTGTATTTGGATTTTCTGACATGCAGAGGCGTGGTCGCATGACTGTTCTAGAACTTAACCCAGTGCTCCAGCTGCACGGGTGCAGCTGGCTTTGAGCATGAGGGTGGCGAAGTTCCATGGCATCACCGCCCATTCGAGGCTGACAGAGATGAAGACAAACATTCTCTTTGAACGTCAGATTTCAGAACGTACCACAGGAGATAGAATGCAACCATTTCCTGCTGCTAGGCTAGGCACTTAAAAAGACATTTCCACACTGGGTAAGCCAGTTCATTAACAACTATTATATTTCATTTCCTAAGAAGAACATTCCGGGTGAAGAAAACTGTACTTAGCCTTTGCCATCAGAGTTGGTGAGACCAATGATTAAAATAGTTTTTGATATAATTCAGAAATGCATGAATTAGAGAAATTTCTGTTGTTCTAATTCAGTCTTGCTTCTTTCCAAAATTCCAAGAAGCTAAGAGTTACTTTAGTTTGAATTGGTCTGGTTGTCACCTCTATCAAGACACTCCTCTTTATGGCATGGGTTCTGCTGCTTCTATATATTAATTTAATGTAAATAAAGTAAGGCTTCAATTGCGGATTAATAGTTTAATCTAAAGGAACAAGTTTGAGCAGTCAACTGTTCTCATTTGAAGCTAGTTAAGGTGAATGCAACCTGGGGTCAAATTCAATTTAAAAATTACAGTCCTCAAAGGAAAACAGCAGCTAGTTTCAGGCCGAGGCAAGTGGGTTTGTGGAGGGTGGGGCACGGACAGCAGTGCCGGGCTCCTGGGGCAGACAGTGGCTGGCTTGACTTGCTCCAGCTCTGAGCTGCCTATGTAGAATGGCCACAGTGCCCCCAGAGAGCAGGGCTAGCGAGGAGCCTTCTCTCAGCACTGGGGTCCCTTCTGCACAATCCCCATGAGGACAAAGGCCAGTTCTGCTGCTTAGCAACTAACTGCCCACACTGGCCACTTCTGATCCCATTTCTCCGTAAAGAAGTGAACTGGCTCAGAAACAGCTCGGGGAAGTGGAATAAGGCCTCTGGGTTGAGGGCTCTCCTTCCTCGGACAGCCAAGAGAGAGGTTGTCTGGAAGCCTGACAAAGAGCAAGGCTACTTTCTACAAGTACAAAACCCCAACCTCTCCAGTCAGTCTATTAAAGTAAACTGAATCATTGGATCATTGAAAAATAATATACTTTGAAAGCCTTTGCCACATCTGTAAAAAAAGAAAAGAAAACCAAAAAGCTTCAAAGGTTTTAAAAATCCTTTAAAATGTATTAATAGCCTTCTTAGTAACAAATATAAAACAGTTTAAGACACTTGGTGACTTTCTTAGGTCATATTTCTGAAGGAGGGGGATACATATATGTCTTGTGGGTGGATACACAGTAAGATTTTGCTATTAAAGTTGTCTATTTAGTAGAAACTCCAGGAAGAGTTCTGTTAAGAAAATAACTGTTTTGGAAGGAAGAGTTGTGTTTTTTTCCTCCAAAACGTCAAAAAGAGTAAGGGCACAAATATATCAAACATAAAATATCAACACAACTATATTAATTCAATAAATAAATAAAGTGGCACCAACTTCATGGCAAGTTGTCAAGACACAGCTCAAGGATATTTTAAAATAAATAACTACTCAAGAAAGGAACCATTATTCTCAGCACAAGAGACACAGCATTGACAATGGAGTGTGGCAAGGAAGGGCAGTGCCAGCATGCCACGGCCACATGGGAACAGAAGTGTCACCCTTAGGTGGGATGGACCCTCAGGACAGATCCTTGTCCAGAGAGGAAAGCTTCAGGAGAGGCCAGGCCTAGGGCTGTCCTTTGCCATTTTTCTCTTTTCTTCCAATGTGTGCTTAAATATTTTCTTCAGGGTGTTGTAAACTATTGGTCCATTTTCAGAATCAAAATTAACCTGGTGACAAAGAAAATTCCTATTTAAGACACTGTAGCAAAAATTTTTAGCAAGTTTCTGTTTGTAAAGGAAAGAAGGATTTGGAGTCGGGGGTGGGGGGTGGCACATGCCTTTAATCCCAGCACTCAGGAGGCAGAGGCAGGTGGATCTCTGTGAGTTCAAGGCCAGCCTGGTCTACAGAGCAAGATCCAGGACAGGTACCAAAACTACACAGAGAAACCCTGTCTCAGGGGGGAAAACGGATTAGGAAAAAACTACAACAAAGATTTATATAGAAATACATAGAGTCACAAAACACACATGATGGGTTTCATACATTGGAACTGAAAGACTACGTTAGAGCTACCAATCACATCAATATCAAACCTTAGAGTGAAACTCGAGACTTTAGTGCCAAGAGTTGACTACAATCCACACAGCTGGCCAGCAAGGAAGGCAGCTGTGAGCATGAAGCTCAGAGTCACTGATGTTCAAGGGAAGTCTCCTTTCCAAAGGAAGCAGAGCAGCTGGTGTGTGGTGTCCAGAAGCCCCAGGGCCACTCTGGACTGCAGTCGGAAGACCTCAACAGTCTGGCTTCCCACCTTCTCTGTGGATCGCCATCCATCTTTTATGTAATGTCTGTGGTGGTGGTTCTCAACCTTCCTAACACTGAGACCCTTTAATATAGTTCCTCACGTTGTGGTTACCCCAACAATATTATTTATTAATATTATTTGCTACTTCATAACTGTAATTTCGCCACTGTTAGGAATCAAAATGTAAATATCTAATATGTGACCCTCAGAGGGATCATGACCCACAGACTGAGAACCACTGGTCCATGGGCTTCAATTTCCTCATGTGAAAATATAAACCCAATAATACCCACTGCCTTAACATTTCTTGGAGTTTAAATGGAATCTGGCACCTGCAAGTGTTTTGTACACATTAAAAACTTCAGTGAGATTGAGGGTCCCCTCTCTGCTGGAAGGCACTGTACACACTTGGGGCCTTCGCCATGCCTGTCATTTTCTGCTGAGGAGTGAGGACGACGGGGTGGGGACTAGAGCAGCCCTGCACTGTCCCCAGAGTGAGGTGTGTCCTACTGAAAAAGAACGATGATCTTGGTGCAGCTTCTTGCTGCCACAAATTGCTCCTTTTTAGACAAATTCTGACAAGGGAAAGGCTGCTTCCTTCATCAGCAGATGAGGGATCTGGGATGCTGCTCTATTTGGTTGTGAGGGTCTTGGTAGTGGCTCTCACAAGGCTCAGGGTCAGAAATAAACACCTGCATTTCTCCTGGAAGCATGTGCTTCATGTTTTTGTGGGTGCTGACCTGACAACTGTGGATGCTTACCTCTGCTTAAATGATTCTTTTTGAAATCCAAGGTGGATCTGTCTGGACAAGCAAATAGCCCTGCCTCCTAGGAGGGACAAGACTTAAAGCACTTGCTGAATACTCAGCTGCTTCTCTCTTTGCCTAAATAAAAGCTTTGTTCCCACACTACCCTTCAACAACCAGACAATTCAGCTTTTTCCTGACACCACTGTTAGGACACGCCCCAACTTCTTCTTAAAACACATGGGCACTAAGGGGAAACAGCGGAAAGTTTTACCTGAGAAGAGAAGGGACCCCTGGACCTGTGACTTACAGAGATGGTGTGACTGGTGTGGAGGACACAGGGACTCACCTTGGTGAAAGCTTTAATGGCATGGGAAAGGCAAGCTTCCTCCACCTCCACAGGAAGTGTTTGCAGGCTCACTATGCAATGCAGCACACAGAGGATGGTCTGGTACTGCCCCTGTTTTGTTTTTTTCCAGAAATAAAAAGAAATTAATTTTAAAGTACCTCAAAAAATCAACTCAAATAATTACAGAGGGAGCTGCTGGCTCTGACTTAGTCTCGAGCACTCGGTCAAGAATCTACTGGAGCAGATGAATATGGTATAGGAACTGCTCAGATGCGTCGGACAGAGCTGGCTGTTCTGTCGCCAGGTCTGATCAGGTACTCCTGAAGATTGGTTCTAAACCACATGCTTCTTCTGCAGTGCACGGAATGGACTTTATTTCCTACCATTTCTGGATATAATCACTCCAGCTTGATCAGCTGATGCTGTAGTGGAGTGTACAGCTTACTTGGGCACCAAGCAGCCAGTACTGTGTGGCCAGCTCACTGCAGATACTACCTGGGAAGGTGGGCAGATGAAGCCCCCAGTAGCAACCTGGATGTAAGGATGTATGTGGTGATATTTTATTTGCATGTTAATAAATACAGTTTGCCTGGAGATCAGAGTCATAGCCAGCCATAGACAGAAGTCAGACGGTGGCACACACCCTTAGTTTGATCACATGGCAGGCAGAGTCTCTGTGTGTTCAAGGACACAGCCAAGCGTGGTGACACACACCTTTAATCCCAGTGTCTATAGAGACCTGGAGGTCTCTATAGACAGGCAGTGAAAAGGAAGTGAGGTGGCTGGGTTAAGAGCCAATGAGAACAGCCAGGCAAAAAAGGCATAGGCTAGACAGGAAGAGGCTCTCTTGGGAAGCTATGGTGATATGGTGAGCTAAGGTTAGTTGGCGGCTATTGCTCTGATCTTGACAGCTTGCACCCTTGTATTTGGCTCTGTGTTTCTTATTTAATAAGACTGTTTAGAAATTTGTCTACAATTGGCGCCCAATGTGGGGCACAAACCCACAACCCTGAGATTAAGAGTCCCATGCTCTACTGAGCTATATAGACATATGCACACATATGTGTGCTTGTGATACATACATTCCCTTTAAAAAAATTCCAATGAGTATATATTCCAGTCTGCATCATAGTCACTGAGATGCTCATCCATTTATGAAAAAAATCATACCAGTTGGTTTTTTTGGGACAGAATCTCACTATGTAGACTGTCCTCAAACTCAGAGAAATGTGACTCCCTAGTGCTGGGATTAAAGGTGTGCACTACCACACCTGACAAAACACCATATTTTTAAGCCAAAATGAAATCCAAAATTTAATGATATTTACTATGTTAAGGTGTATATTGAAAGATTAAAAATGAAAGGTTGAAAGGATTTAATGACTCTCCCAGCATTCACATTGGAGAAATGATTCCTAAAGTATAATCACTTCGGTCTCCCAGGCTATGGATATCTTCCTTTTAGGGGTGGGCATTAGACCTAGGTCCTTGTACACAATATGCAATGACCTACCACAGAGCTACTTCCCCAGCTTGGTTTTGAGACTGTCTTGCTGCATATAAGATAACCTTGAATCCAGTATGTAGTCAAGGATGGCTTCAAATTTGTAAAACTACTTCTACCTCCTGAGTGCTGGGGTTACAAGTATTCACTGCCATTTCTATATGCTTATGTTGTGCATCAATTTCTCTGTAACTACAATGCTGCAGATCAAACCCAGGGCTTTGTACACACTAGGCTAGTCCTCTACCACCAAGCTACATCTCCAGCCCCAATTTCTCTTATCTTAGAAAAACTACTAAACTGGGGGACTGGAGTGATGGCTTAGTGGTTAGGAACATGTGCTGCTCTTGCAGAGGACCTGAGTTCAGTTCCCAGAACCCACACCAGGTGGTTCCCAAGGGCCTAGAACTTCAGCTCCAAGGGTATCGAATGCCCTCTTGTGTCTTCTTTGAGCATTGCACTCACATATACAAACACACGGAGACCACAGACACAAAATTAGGGGAAAAAGAAAAGAAAACCCACTAAAATAGACCTAAATACAATTTTCATTCCTCTTTTTTGCACATGTGTGAAACTTACATTGAGGGCCTAAATTAAACTCATTAGCTGGTCCAATAGCTACTTTACCTTCTCTAGTAAAAATAGGGCTTCACCAGCATCTGCTTGCCTGTCCACCAACATGTCCACATCCTCTTTGGTGATTACAGGCTCTTTCAGCTGCTCCACCCAAGACCACATCAAACTGCACAAGATGAAAGGGTCTCTCTCACCACAGATTCTTTCCCAGGCTCCCTCTCGGGAATTTAATTCTTTCTGCAAAGGAAGAGGGAGAGAGAGATGGACACGGGGAGAGGCAAGTGTATAGACCTAACTGGAGGATTCACAAGCGGCTGAAGAGTGAAGGCTGGGCTCTGAGGTGCAATCTGGACCATCCTCAAGGCCTGCACCTCTAGCTAGGGATGCCCAGCTAACACAGGAGCTTCTCGAAACTTCGTCTCATCCCTGCCACACACAGTGCAGGCTAACTACCAGGAGAAGGGCCACCGAAGCCAGCAGCCCTGTCTCTGAGTGAGGCCACAGATGGAGTTCAAGAGGCAGTCTTCTTTCTCAGACATCTGGTAAACAAAACAGAAATTTGGACTGCAAATGAGGTAAAATGGTAGATTAGAAATAGGGGACCATTTATAAGTTAATTTGGGGGTCTCAGCTAAACCTTTTAAACACACACACACACAGAGACAGAGAGACAGAGACAGAGAGACGGAGACAGACAGACAGACAGACAGACAGACAGACAGAGACAGAGACAGAGAAAACTGCATGAGAGTTGGTAAATGTGGTGTGTGTTTTTCTAAAGTGCCTTTTAGAACCCTACTGATGACCCCTATAGATGAAGTACCAAGCCTGGCACCCTGTGATCTGGGACGGTGAAAACAAGTGGGAAACCTTGTGAACACTCCCAAATATCTGCAGACAGTTTAAGCACGAGCTTTCATTACTTCATTTATTTGTGTGTATTCATGTATGTGCCCATGTGCATGCATGTGCATGCCACCAGCATGTGTGTGTGGAGATGAGAAGACGACTTTGTGGAGCTGGTTTTCTCCTTCTATTATGTGAGTCCAGGAACCAGAACTCGGGCTTGGAGGGCCCATTTCTAATGACTCAGACTACTACCAGCCTCACACGAGAATTTAAGACTTCACCTCACAAAGATGAGTTAAGAAATTTCTGACAGGGATCAAATTTATGCTTTGGTAAATCAAATAAAACTTCTCAATGATACAAAACACAGTAGTTGTTAATATCCATTTATTTGCTCAGTAAATACTTGTAGCCTGTACCACAAAGTGGTTAGAAAAGTAACACAGGACTTAGTTCAGACTTTCACAGCACCCCACAGGGAGGCTCCTCACAGATAAACTCTGAGATGGAAACAGTAACCTGTGCATAGCTCAAAGCTAGAAAATGGCAGGGAGGTGTTCCACTGGCTTGCCTTACTGCCTGGGCCATGGGTTTCTCTTTATCACATAAATAAGCCCACACTTGGAGTTGTCTGTATTTCTACCTATCTGACATATTGTATACAGAAAAGGATAGCTTTTTATTGAATCTCATGGATCTATGAGGAGATAAACTGGGCAGAACAAAAACTGAGTGAAGTGAGTACTGTACCGTGATGCTTGACAAAGCTTCCCAGTGAGGCAGGCATGTGAGGAGAGCCTGTCTACACACTGCCACATGAACCATGGCCTCGAGTAAGCCACTTGACTTCTGGAGTCCTTAGTCCTCGCCTATGATACTGATTCATAAAAGTCACAGAGAGTCTATAAACAGTCCACTGTGTCTGGGGTGCTGAGAAAGGTACAAGGCATGCTCACCAACGGCCTAGCGCAGACATACGCAGCATCACACTATTTTCCCAGAGTACACCTGGCTTTTTTACTTACTCAAAGTCCTGAGATAAATCTAAGAAGGTAGAAGTTTCGTGGCTCCAGAAAATGCTTTTATACGTGCTACATGTAGAGACAGCCTGTCTCCAACCAAATGCGCATGTTTTTGTTGTTTGAGGCAGGGTCTCTATGTAGCCCTGCATGTCCTGGAACTATGTAGACCAGACTGGCACAGATTTGACTACTCCTGCCTCGAGTGCTTTGATTAAAGGTCTAGCTGACAGAGCTGGCCCAAACCTGCTTCTTCTCAGCTCATATGGGCACTTGGCTGAGGGACACGCAGGGCTCACCTGGGAGCGGCACCATGGCATTCTTAACCAAAGATCCCCTTACTTGTTAGCTCTCAACATACAATAATGCATGAGAAATATTGGCTGAGTGAATGAGAGACTTTTTTCAGTTTATAGAGGGGAATAAAGAAAATTTATCTGGAAGGAAAATAATGTTTGAGTTTTTATTAGGTTAGATACTCTTTTATTCAGTTCTCTCCTCTGTTGTACACTGTAAGTTGGTAAGAGCTCCTAACATCATTTCCTACCTCTGAAGATGTCCTAGCTTTTACAAGTTTTAGCTTCTTGGTTTTATAAATGGTGGCATATGGAAGAAAAGCAACTACTTTAATAGCATGACCTGAAGAGATGGCTCTCAGCTAACAGTATATACTTCCAAAGGACCTGAGTTCAGTTCCCAGCACTCACACCAGCTGTCTTAACAAATGCCTGCAATCTCAGCTCTGGGGATACCAGACACTCTCGTCTGATCTGAGGGCACCTACATGCCACTGTACATACCCCACCCTCCCACAAATACACATAATTATAATATAAAATAAAACCTTTCAAGTAATCCACAGAAGAGTATGGCTACCAATTCAGGATTTCTCTGAGTCAAAAAGCCCAAGACAGTCCCAGGCTGGGCCAGTTCCCCGTTTCTGCTGAGTTTCTAGGGGCCCATCTTTTCTCTAGACAGGTGCTCATCCCAGGTAGGAAAGTGCAGCCAAAGACTGTTGTCCTACTAGGAGGGAAACACCAAATAGGGAGTTCAATGTAAAACTTCACATTCTAAGTAAGAGCCAAGAAGTGGGTTTCGGAGTCCTCCTCTCAGATATGACAGATGCACACGGGTCATTTTCATTTGCCATCTCTAAGTCTGAAGTGACCCTACTGGAATGGGGCCATCAAGTCTGTGAGAGAGCAGGCCCAAGAAGGGAGGCCTGACTCACCCCTTGTACCAACAAGCTTTGGGAAGTAAATTTGTTTTCTTTCTATCACTAGGCCAGTGGTTCCCAAACTGTGGTTCCCTGTTCCAGGCCCTCAGTTAGAAAAACACCGCAGGCCAGTTCCTAACACCATCTGCTGTGGATGTGGCTGCCCCGAGAAGAGCGCTACCAACACAAACATCATGTGTGGAGCAAGCATCACACGAGGTGTGTTCTTGAACACAGAAATCTAGCTGCAGCTACACAACACCCTGGGTCGTTTCCACACCAGGTTCACACCACACTTGGGAAACTTCAAGTTCCTCTCTTCCCATTTCTGTAACAAAGAGTTTGGAAAAACATGTTACATATTTTTGGTCTAATGAAACCATTTCTATGCACACGCGTGCGTGCGTGCGTGCGTGCGTGCCTGCGTGTGTGTATGTGTGTGTGTGCTTGTGTGTGTTGTGTAATATATATATATATCCTCTCTATAAATATATATAAGTACATATATATATATATTAAATGGAATGCACATACCTGCCACATTTCCACTTTCCTTTTCACTTCCTCCTTTTCCACAAACTCATTTAAATTTGCAAGGGCTTTGGCTGCCAGTATTCGCCTAGCTTCGGCACTCAGTTCAGACTGCAAACCAGCATATGGCATGGCTTCCGACAGGTGTGTGCTGTCTTGGGTTTCCTGTCCTTGTGGGAGCTGTGCCTTAGGATTGGAGCCACAGTCTAGAGGGCTGCAGGGAGTCCTCCCTTCCTCCTGAACAGAGCCTGGAACCCAACCACCAGGAGCGTGACACTGGCAGTGGGTGACTTGCTCTGGATCCATATGGATACTTGCAAAGTTGGGGGGCATTGGTTCCCCAGAATTGTGTGAACAAGAAGTGCCCACAGAGAAGGTTCTGCTCCGCTGTACTTCCTTTGGGATGTCCTTCCTACAGAAAAGTGGTGATCCATCATCCTTGAGTCCTTCTAAGCCCCCATATTTTGGTTGCGTCCAGAAGGAAAATGTGCTGTGAACCAAGGCTTCCTTATTTAGGCCTAGCTCTGGAGTTGGTGGCATATAACAATGGCTGGTGTGCTTCTGATGCTGGAGGCTGTGGTCCAGCAAGTCCTGGGCAGGCACTGTCCAAGGTGTCTCCCCTTGCTCCAGGATAGCTTTGGCCCTCTTTAAGTCTGAGTCACTGTAGCTGAGCTGCCTTTTCAGATGTGTCAGGGGCTGAAGATTGTCAGCATTCCTCCTCTTCCAGAGGGGGTCAAAGTCACGCTCATTAGAAAGGATCCCATCCTGATTCTCAAACTCGGCCACCACTGCAGTGGGGTTAAACGGGTCGGGTGCGTCACTGTTCTGCCTCAGTAACTCTTGGTCCAGCTGCATCGTAACCATCTCAGACACAGTCTTTTCGATCTCAGCAGAGAGTTCAGGTCCTTCCAACGTGCTCTTCGTTACTACTGGCCTGTTCTCAGCCAAGTCAAGCAGCAGCTTGCAAACGAGGTGGATGATCTTTGGCACATATTTCAGAAGTCGTGCCTCATAACCATGAAGCAGATGCCGCTGGCGAATCAGGTACTGGGCTAAGGTAACAGCATGTGCTTTGGGATCGCAGCAAGAAAAAATATTACGGAGTGGAGCCAGGAACTGAGTGAATTCCCGTACACAGAGCAGCTGCCCTCTGGTTTGTATGGAATTGGGGCGTTTCGCCCGCACAAATATAATTGCTTGGTCAGCAGTCATTCTTGTTGCAAAAACTAAATAACATGCTATTAGAACACCTACACAGTAAAGAAGATTAATATGAGAAAAGACTCGTTCATGTATCAGTCTTTGATGATTTAAGACTTGAATACTGTTAAGAAATCATATAAACACAAACACATTTGAAGGATAGTAATAATGACACCTGCCAGTTTTCTGTTGCTGTTTTTTTAATACAGAATCTCATGTAACCTAACCTGCCCTGGAACTCTGTATACAGACAAGAATGACATTGAACTCTTGATCCTCTGGCCTCCACTTTCCAAGTGCTAGTATTACAAGTGTGCAGTACAGGCTGGTTTTATATAGTACTGGATATCAAACCCAGGACCTCGTGTATGCTAGGCAAGCATTCTACCACCCCTCAAGCATTTATTACTGCAAAGACTTTTATAGGTCTTTGTGGCAGTTCCTTCCGGTGACTGAGTCAGCTTTGCACCCCAGATGAGCTAGCACACAGCTGGCAGATGAAGGGGGGCTGAGGTGGAGTCAGTACGGCTGGCAGGTTAGGGGGTGCTGAAGTGAGGAGGGCTGAAGAAGTGAGCTGAAGGCCTGGTCTAGCCTCCTCCTGCCTAACTCTGGCATGGAAGGAAGCCAAACCCTGCTTCTGTGTTCTGGGTAAACTGCTCTTGATGTTTCCATCTAATCTACCACCCACTCTGCCCTTGGCACTTCCTGCTCCGTCATCTCTGCCATCCACTGCCAGAACATTCTTGCTGAGCCCTCCCCCATACTGGCAAAGTTTTGCTTTGGGATTATTACATTCATAGAGTCTACTTCTCTGCCTGACAATTCTTCTAAACTATGCCTACACTAATCTGTGTTTTTTTTTCCAGACCACGATGTAACTCTGTTACATAAGCAAATGCTATTAAGGATGTCAGCTGCAATAGTATGATGACTTTTTTTTCACTAGTTATTGGTAAGAATTCATAATCAATTAATTATAATACAATAGTCAACAAATCTTAATGTAAAAGGCAAATCAAAGATACCCACACAATTCCAAAATTTGTGAACATCTAGTTATGAAATCAGAACCTCTAAGAACTACATGCCTCCAGTTTGCAGCGAATACAATATAGCCTTTTTCATGGGGACATAGATCTTTAGTATAAGGAGAAGTATCTGCAGAGATATAACGTATGCAATGTCCAGCCGAGCAGTTATGGTGCACACCTTTAATCCCAGCACTTGGAAGGCAAAGGCAGGCGGATCTCTGTGAGTTCAAGGCCAGCCTGGTCTACAAAGCTAGTTCTAGGACAGCTAAGGCTATACAAAGAAACCCTGTCCTGAAAAATAAAACAAAACAAAAAAGGAAAGAAAAAAGAAAAACAGTATTTAAAAAAATACTATTTATCAACATGAGATGCTCCATTTAAATAAGCTGATCATTTAAATAGTTTTAGAAACATGTTTAAACACAATGAGTTTTCAGCTCTAAATTATTCAGAAATACTCTTATCAGTACATGGTTATTATACAGTTTTAGGACGCGTCAAATATCTTTTATTTCTTTAATTCCAAAGCTCTGTTATGATTCTAAAAACTATTTCTCTTTAGACTTAGGAAATCTCATTCCTACATATTTAACTATGCCCACACTACAATATGACTTCCTAAAGGTTACCTGTCCGCCCAAGGCCTGCATGGCAGTGGACAGCCACCTTCCCCTCCTGTAAGGCAAATGTCATCACCTTTACCATGTCTAAGATGGCAGTGAGGGATGCCACACCATAATCCTTCCATCCGAAGTTGTAGAAATAAACTAGACAGTGAAAGAGAAAAAGAAAACCAAAATTAATATGCATAAAACCCTGCAAGGACAGTTGAAGAAAATGAGTTACAAGGCACGAGATTCCACTGACTAGGCAGGTTACAATAGTAGGCCTTTTTATTTGTTTTTTTTATTTCTGGAGACAGGGTCTCACAGTGTAGCCCTGGCTCGCCTGAAGCTTGATATGCAAACTGGGATGGTCTTGAACTCACAGAAATCTGCCTGCCTCTGCTTCCTGAGTGCTGAGATTGTGTGCCACCATGCCCATATAACAGCATTTTTATATTTCTAGTAAGTTTAACTTAACATTTCTTACAAGCACATTCTTTATCGCCTAATACATTTTCTGTTGAAGTGCAGATGGAAAGAATTATAACAGAATAGAATTAAAAATTAAGGTGGAGGTAAGTAATGTGTATTCTTGTTTAAGAATAGAAATTCTCTAAAAGACTAATAAATGGCTAAATAGTTTTATATAGATATGTAGATATAGATAAATAGATATAGATGAGTTCTCTACTTAAGTGTGACTAGAAAAAAAAAAAAAAGCTAGACATAAGCCTCTTGAGAACATGTTCCCAGAACACATGCTCGTCTTGCTCAGCCTGGTTGGAATAACTCCGCTGAGTGGTCTCTTCTCCAAAGCTCCTGTGATGAGCTCTGGGCTGGCCACGAGGACATAGGCTTGTGGGGACAAAAATTATTCAACTTCCAATCCTCACTGGAATGTCTAAGCTATGGGGTCTCAGACAAGCTGATAACTCTCTAAGTTTAAGCTGAGTTGCACAATCGTGTTAAAGAGAAAATGAGGCCGTCATGTCTGACATGGTACAGGCGCTAACTGAAAAAAGCCTTTTTACTGCAGGGTCTCCTCCCAGCCCCTCCTAGAGGAAAAAGAAACCCTGTACTCACAATAGCAACATCAAAGAAAGGCAGCATCATTTTAAGTGAAATTAGAAGCCCCACTACTACGCAGATTCTATTGATAAGTAAATAAGTATTACCTCTTTAACCTAAGAGCCTGGAAGACAAAAGTGTCTAAGTATTATCCTTGATAATTCAGTGTGGGATAATGCAGGGTGGGAAGGAACTTACTGCCAGCCTCCATGAATGCTTCAGGAAGATACGTGAAACCACTTTCTTGTTCCAGAGAGTTCCCACAGCTGGCATGCTCACCAGGGCGCTGCAGGTTGATGATTGTTTTTATGCCATGACTTAACAGAAAAAGAGCAATCAGTTATAAGGACCTGGAGTCATGAGAAACAGGATTTTAGCATTAGTAAGACATTATTAAAGTCAGCTCTTTACTCCCTGTTTTTTTTTTCTTTTAAGTGAAGTCCTTTTCACTTGATGCCATAATCAGTTAAAGAAAAGCATGTTGAGTGTGTTCACTACCACTGTGAATGCTGCAGTACTTACCCAAGGAACTGCTCGATGATCTGATACTTCTCCAGCAGCTCAGAGGATGGACGAGCCATGGCCAGGATACTGTCAGTGACCCTGAAGATGGATATAGGACTGCTGAGATACACAAAACTCAGAGCATTCTACCTGATAGGATCAGCAACTTTATCATTTCAACAACTTCTATATTCTTTCATAATTCTGCCTCATAATTAGAACTCTGAGAAACCTTGTAGCTCCTTGAATCCCCAGGAAAAAATTTCAAGACCTAAGTTATTTATGGATTCTGACAAAACATCTGCAAGGACTCTAAAGAGATTCCAGTGGACATAAAGGGGACCTTCACCTTGTGACAAAGTGGCCAGTCAACTAAACAGAGGACAACTGGGAGGCTGGCATTGGACACCCGTTATCCGAGGTGTGAAATGGGGTAATAATGCCAGACATACATAGGACTGGGGTGAGAATTCACTATGATGTGGATGTACAAATATAGCAAAAATCCTAGCCTGTGGCTATAAATACTGAGGTGCTGCAATTAAGCAAAGAAAGAAGGTGGGGGTTTAGAGTCAGTTGGGCCTGACTTCAAATGCTGTTTTGTTTTTCTGCTTTCTATCTATGAGGCAAATGAACTCATCTCTCTGGACTACCAAGAAAATGGCATTAACAACTCACAGTGTTTTATGAAAATTGGTGATAATTTGAAAGCACCTAGTAGCAAAGTGCCTTGTCCTACAATTAAATGTTTATGAATGAATCTATGAACAGAACAGAGTGAGTCAATGAACAGTTGGCCATAAAGAGCCTGCCACTCGTTAGACTTCCAGCTTTACTCTGTCCAAGTTTGTCATCGGGAAGACGGTAAAAGGTATGGAAGGCAGTCTACTGCAAGGTGTGACTCACAGGAGTCTCAGAGGAGCAGCAAAGCCATCAAGCTGGCAGGCAAGCATCTAAAGACAGCATCCCCCTCAGGAGCAAGGGTAGGCAGAACAGGGGCTCCGAGAGACTTGAGATGGGATCTGACATAAGAGCAGCAGAGCTGGGAAGGGCTCGCACGGCTGGCTGACAACTAGGCAAAGTGTCCGTGTGAGCTATGCCACACTGGACGTCTGCTTGTCTGACCGACTCTGACTCAGGAGCGTTGGTTTCCTCATGCCATTAGTGTCACTAGGCTTGCCTATGACTCATACCGACCACTAACGACAGTGGGCCTCAGACTGTGTCACTGCAGGGATACCGGAAACGCAGCACAAGAGTAGAGACAGCAAGTCAAAGAAGTGGTCAGGAAACATCCGATTTTAAAATGGATTCTTCCTGCATAAAATAATTCACGAGGAAAGCCCTTTTAAACAGTAAATTCTAAGTGTGTTCCAAATAGGATTTTGTTTTTTGAGACAGGGTCTCACTGTGTAGCCCTGGCTGTCCTGGAACTCACAATGTAAACCAGGCTGGCCTTGAGCTCACAGAGATCTACATGCCTCTGTTCCCTGTGTCCTGGGATTAAAGGCAGGCACCACTATGCCCAGCTCAAATACGATTACCAGTATTTTGAGACCACAAATACATACCTGACTAGCTCACTACTATAATAAAGGCAGTATGACTTAAGAGTAGAATCAATTGTGCTTAAACACAGAAGCAATGCCAGCATCTCACGGTTGCCTGCTCGACTGGCAGCCAGCACCAGTTATGCCAAGAGACTAGAGTCTATTTCACAGTAACAGACAAATGATGTGAATGCTGAACTAACTGCACAGATCTGAGGACTACACATGGACCATGTAATTTTCCCAAACATATAGCTGAACAATTTTACTATTTTCATCAATTTCTGAAATTTAAGAACTACCTAATTACCCACTAACTTAAGATACTTCATGCATATCATTTCACTTAATGTAAAGGCTTTGAGCTTAATTATTTCCATTTTGCAAATGAGAAACTAAGGTTGAGTAGGTAGTATCCCACAGACGGCCTCCTGGCAAACCCAGGGGTGGTTGCAAGGTCCCCTGAATTCAAGGCCCATGTCTCCTTTACACTGCCTGCCTGCTGGCTCCCAGCATTCCTGCTTCCTTCACCTACAGAGCTGTGCTAGACCCAGAGCCATACTTACCAGGATGAGTAAACGCCCTTGATGGCTTGCTCCTGATCACTCCAGCGGGCTGGGTTCTCATACTTACAGGCTCTCCCACCACACGCCATGGAACATGCCATGTGCCCAGGGATAACATGCCGTAAACGTTCTCCCACCTTTGTGTACTTTGGCGTTGGGCGTTCCGAAGTTTCTAGAACATATACAAGGAAAGTAAGGTTCAAGATTCTATCCTCCCAATAGAATGTTACATGGGAAACAGTTTCATTTTTCCTCAGGATTATAGATGTGAGCCAGTGTAAGTGCCTTCATCTAATATTACAAAAGCTTTCACATGCAACAATTTCTACATATTATATTGGTAATGAGAAGAAAATGCAAAAGCTCATCTTTTTCAAGAGGATGAATTTTGTCCAAAACTATACTTTTAACAACAACAAAAATGCCATAAATTATTCCATCATTTTATCTCCTCTTCCATACCCATTAGGTCTCAGCATGCGCAGAGTAAAAAGCATGAACAGAATTAACTGTCAACGTTCTAAAAGTACAGACACAACTGCAGGTTTTTCCCATTCCTAAAGCTTAGATACAAAGGGTAGCAAATTATAAGAAAGAGTTTTACTTTTTCTCTCGGGAAAAGTTGGATTCCCCTCCGGACGGCTTACAGAAGACACAGCCACCATCACCTGGAGAGAAGATGAGGACAGCAGCTTGGTGGCAGAGCCAGAGCCACGGCGGGCTTGCTGCAGCCTCAGGACCGGGTCAGAAGTGGAGTGGCGGCGGCCCTGCAGAAAGGCGCTGAGGAAGTGCACAGCCGAAGGCCTCCGGGAAGGGTCCTGCACCTGCATGGCGCTGGCTGGGGCAGGCAAGAGCTGGAGGAGGCAGAAGCCAGCTCTGGCTTGCTCACTGAGGAGCTACACTGAGACACAGGCATCGTTCTGTATGATCTAAGAGCTTTTCAGGATAGGCTGACTCGTTTCCATAGTGACCAACAAAGAAACTACTGATTCCCACTTAGATGTGAACAGGCAAAAATCCTACACGAATAGATTGTGTTTTGGACAAATTGTTCAAATACAGAGAAGAATAATATGCATTTAAAGTAAACTGTTCTTACATTGAGATTATTTTGTTTTTTAAATACACTTAAAGATCTAAGTCCTCAAAGAATAACTTCCAAAATACTGTAATGAGTTTTAAAATGTTTCTTGTTTTTTGTTGTTGTTGTTGTTTTTTTTCAACACTGCCTCTTACATACATTAAAAAACTTAAATTGTCTTGTGCCTTTCATAGCTGGTCTCATACTTTTCTTTGGAACAGGACAAAGAAAAAAGTTTGTTGTAATTAGCAGTATATGCTAGGATGCTACAACATTATTAAAGGATCATTCAATTTTTTCAGAACCAAGTACCTTCCTATATTTTCTTGATAGAACTACTAAAGAAACACTTGAATGGAACAAATAAAGACATTTTAGAGCTAAGAAGACAGTTTCATATTTTTACTTTCAGAGGTGAAAACTCAATTCTTGGTTCTATGCTGTTGGAAACAACTTAGCTGTGAGTAAAAGTAACTATGAGCAGCCATGCCTTTCCAAAGTTCAAAACTGTAATTCTTTGCCTCCCGTTGCTATGGGAGGAAAAAAAAAAAAACAGCTTCTAAGTCTCCACGGAGGCATTTGAATAAAATTCTCTAAAGTATCACATTTTTAAAGGAACTGGATGAGGGGGAGGTGGCAGTTTGAGAATAAAGGATATAAAGAAAACAGAAACTCAACAACTGCAAAGCTCTTATTGTCCGCCTCCTCCCTCGCTAATGTCAGGCTGTGCCCGCGCTTTCTCCCCTGCACTCTTGGCACAAATGGTATTTCAGTGGTGTGCGGATGGGAACATAACTACTGCTGTAGATTAGGCTGATCTACGCTGTTCAATTTCCACCCTCATATCCCTGGCATCACGCACTTTTGTGAAATAAGACGGAGACAGAGGAGTCTAATTTGACATTCCAATTGCTACTTTATCTGTAGTATCACACAGAAATGGAAAAGTTCCCCCCCACACACACACACCCCAATTCAGAAAGCAGCTACTCTGCCTGAAAGAACGACCTGAGAAAGATTCTAGCCCAGGCCCACTTGACGCTTAGAATGATACAGAGCAGTTTTACACGGGTTTACATGAGAAGAGAGCACAGAAGATACCGAAGAGAGCAAGAAGGGACCTAAAGGCAGGGGGCCCTAAGTGCTGTGTGCTTGCTACTCTGGTGACAGAGTCTGCGAAGACTTTTAACACCGCACAGCTGGCAGCACATGTGGAGTCTGAAAGAGACAAAGTATGGGAAGCTCCCTGTAGCCTGATAAAGACAGTGGCTGTGGATGGAGGACATGTCAAGGGGTGGACTATGGCACCAACGTGATGCTGGGAGTTCAGCTCAAGTGGCCAGCAGATCGCACCACTGGTTCCCACAGAGCCCATGCACAGGGGGTGTGAGAAACCCGCAAGCTCTGTGGCAGGCACAGATATTTAAGGCAACAGGGAGGAGGTGTCAGTCAGTGATTCCAGAAAACGGAAGGATGCACTGAAGGATGTCTACAGAGGGAACTCAAATGTGGCTCTGCTCTCAACTGTACTAAAATTCCAAAGAAACCTAATGTGGGGGACTTATTTGGACTAAGCTAAGGAAGGTTTAAGTATCACCTCAAAAATAACTTCTGCTATAAAATCCTAAGAACTGAGCTAACTTCAAACACAAAAACAGCACACAACTGAGCTGACTGAACATGTTAGCATAGTGACCCTGTGTCAGGCAGGGCCTAAGGAAGTGTAGCCTGGTGCAAACAAGGACTGGACAGGCAAATGTAGCCCCTCCCTCCACAGCCAACACAGCTCCAAGGATACATCCTGCATCCACCTGGCAGGCAAACTGGAACTGTGCCCACCTCTTCACGAAAGACAGGTACCCTAGCCTTTGCTTTATTGCTCATTTGAAGGGATCCTCAAAAACTACACCTTGGCTGAGTACCCAATTCACAGTCAATCTTCTTTCAAAAATAAACTCAGCATTAAAAAGGACTGGCTGGTCTTCCAGAGGACCCAGGTTCAATTTTCAGTACCTATATGGTAACTCACAATCCAGGGGATCTGATGACTTCTGGTCTCCATGGACACCTGGCATGCATGTGGTGCAAAGTCATACATGAAGGCAAAATACCCAAACACATAAAAACATTTAAGAAAGAATTTAAGTTTTATTTATATCAGAGGGCTTTACAACTGGCATACAACCTTTAGTCTCCAACACGCTAGCTTGGTTTCCTTCTCCAATGTGCTCATAGAGTTAAGGGTTTTCCAGGGTTATTTACTTAGAGGACTGTGTGTAGCCCTTACTGACCTAGAACTTGCTATGTAGACCAGGCTGAACTGAACTCACAGAGATCCCTTCTGAGTACTGGAATTAGGGGTGTGGACCACTACTCTGAGCCTTTTTTGTATTTACAGCTTCAGTGCACACACGTTTTCCTGCTTTTTCCAATCAAGACAGGGACATCTACCTTTAGTCTTAAATTTGAATCTAATAAAGCACAATGACTATGAAAACTCATTTTGCTAATACACCACAAAATTTATCTAATTCCTTAGTTGTCGGACATTCAGGGCATTATCAATGGTTTTTATTTTAAAAATAAGATACTAACCTTTTTTTAAGACCAAAATCTTTATTTTAATATTTTAGGGAAGATATGACTCACGAGTAAAATTAATGTTCAAATTGCAATTTTATTTAGTGGAGTCTTTACATGTTTAAAAATTAAGTATAAATAAACAGAAAGAGGGAACATGTTCAGCAACTCCACTCAGGATTCAGGGACCCTGTGAGGCTGGGTTGGAACCAGGATTTTATGTGTGTGTATAGGTGTGTATGTGTGTGTGTATACATATGTATATGTACATACACACATACAAATATAAATAAGCACAAATGTTGATACATGATAGGTACAGTTATCCACATATGAACATGCACTCACTCTTCAACTATGACAACCAAGAAGACCTTGTGGAAAATAACAGGATAGTAACAAACACATACAAGCAGACATTGGTTTTTAAGCTCAATTTTTCTAGCAATAAATACTACAGTTTCATGGCTGTAATCCTGATGAAATGGACATACTCAAATTGAGAGGATTTGGTAACATAACACAACTTGCTTATCTTCTTCAGAAGTACCTGAGGTCATCAGAGTCCAGGACAGTCTGGATTGTGTTCTGGTGTGAAACACGTGAAGTAAACGGGAGAGTAAATACTGTGTGTGACCCAGACTTGGCTCTTGGACTGTCAGCCACAATCTGCGAATCTCAAGGGAAGCTGACGAGCAGAAGAAAGGCCGTGATAGTTCAGTCTACTTTGCTGATGTGGGGAGTGTGGAGAATATCTTTGTGGGAGTAATAGAGAATCATGTCTGCAACTCACACCCAAACAGTTCAAGAAAAACATCTCTCTGTTGTACTTGCAAGTTTCAGATTGCTTCAAAATGAAAACAAATCCTCTAAAAGATATTCAATAATTAAAACCAAAGGGTCTCAGCAAATAAGAGAACTGTAGAGTTTACTTTAAAAGGGTCATCAGAGACCTCTGCAAGAACAATTGCCGTGGACACCAGCAACAGATGCCCGAGCTGACCTGAGACTGAACAAGCGACAGAAATGGCAGCTACAATCAGAGGGGTTTTTTTTTTGTTGTTGTTTTGTTTTTTAAAGATTTAGCTGTGACAGGAAGAGAAGGGCCTCAGATGAGTTATAGTGAGAGGTCTAGAAACAATCACATGTAGCAGGAATATGAGAAGTCCTGGCTTCAGATATTTGAAACCATTTCAAGTTTAAGGAATGTTTTTTGTTTTGTTTGGTGAGGATGAATTAGAATTGATACTTACTGAGAAACAGATCTGACCCGGCATCGGCAAACACTCTGAACCAATGGCTGAACAGCGGTGCTCTGTAGGAAGCGGGCCTGTCAGAGAGAGGAGACTGAAGCCGCAGTCAGCACCACCTGGATGTGCCCATGTGTGGCCCCGAGAACGTGAGCGGGTGGACCACTGTCTCCCCGGGACCTCTTATGGGTTTGTCTGACAGGAAACAGCCCTTGCTGAAATCCTGGACATAAGAAAATGACCAGCGCGATACCACTAAATTCAGGAACAAGACAA